GGAGGGGCGCGGGCCGGGGCCCCTGGGCCCGCTGCCCTCTCTCGCCTGCACACTTGCAGGCAGAAAGCCTGACGTCAGCGTCGCCGCTGGCCGGTGCCGTGGCCCCCTGCTCGGCGTTGGGGCGGGGGTGCTCCCCGCCGGAGCTCCCTCTCGCTGGAAGTGCGGGGTGGCCACGCTGGCCCAGAGACTGGACAGGGAGGTGGGTGAAGGAGCTAAGTCAGAGACAGAGAGAACCCGCGGGGGGCAGACCAGCTTCAGCGTGGACTTAGCGCAGGGAGGGCAGGCTGTGGCCCTCAGGTGGCGTGGCCAGGACCCGGCCCCAGCACCCAGGCGGACGCCTCACCTGGGCTGTCCCAGAGGGACGCCACTGACCGCCCTCCTCAACCCTGCCCCGGCCGGGCTGCTCCCGGCCCCGGCGGCCCCCCCGGCGCCCTCTGACGGCCGCGAGGCGAATCTGCTCGGGCAGCCGCCGCTGCCTGGTGACCTTGCCCAGCGGCCAGCCCTGAGGCCGGCGATCTGCCCCGCCACCGCAGCCCCGGACGCCGGACAGCCACCGAGGCTCGGGCCTGACGCAGATTGAAGCGTCCACTGGCGAGTTCTGGGAAGAAGCTGAGGGAATTCTGGAGGGGACGCGGCTCGTCGGGTCACGGGCTAGACGTCCCCGCTGGTGACTGGACACGGGCAGGCAGGCAGGCGGAGTGTCCTGTGGCCTGGTGGTCTTCACCGCTGCCCCGCTGCCCAGTTTACGCCGAGACCAGGCGCCAGGAGACGTGTGGCCCGTGACCCGGAGGCCCCAGGGTGAGCGCGGCCCCCGCATGGCTGTGGCGAGTGTCTCGCGCCCTGGCCTGCGGTGCTCGCGCTGACCTGCGGCTCCCGGTGGTCAGCCCCCGAGGCCTCGGCCCCTGGCGCGAGGGGAGCGGCTGGGTCGTCTCCCCAGAGCTCACCGTGCCCTGCCGGGGCTGGGTGAGAGCAGCCGCGTTTTACGACTGTTTGTGCTACAGCCCCGGATGCGGCCATGGTCCGTGGTGACCCACTCCCGAGCCCACGGGAGCCAGTGCCCGTGGCCGCAGACCACGGGCCAGCCGGCGTCATGGCGGTTGCGTTCACGCGGGCCAGAGGCGGTCCGCAGAATCCATCGGTCGTCGGCGTTTCCCAAGACAGGGAGGGAAGGGGACAGGGGAGGTGGGCGTGTGCGTGGCCGGGGGCCCTGGTGGGGCTCAGGGCGGCACTGGACGCGGGGCAGGGGGCGCCCGCAGAGCCGGCCAGGTGGCTGCCGGAGGCTGGGGCCGCAAGGCGCCGCCCCGCTGGCCCTGGGTCCTGGTCCTGGTGCCGCTCCCATGAAGCCACTTCCTCTCCTGCCCTGGCCCCGGAAGGCCGAGCTCGCCTGGCCTGGCCTGAGCTTCATACGAAGCTTCCAGGCTGCACTCCCGCCCCTTCGCTTCCTCCCAGCCCCGTGTGGTAAGGATTCCTGGCTCGCAGAGCGGCGCAGTCATTTTCACGGCTGCGTAATACTCCACGGCGTGCCCACCCCCCGCGCGCCTGGTCTGTGGTGATCGCCAGGGCCCTGCTTTCTTAGGATACAGGCGTTGCGCCCTCTTCTGCCTTTTGATGTGTTCTGTTCACCCCGGAGATACATTTTAACTATCTATGCTGCAGGAGCTGGGGTGCAGGCCAGAGGTGTGGGGGTGAGGGGGGTCGCCAGAGGCAGAGTGGGGAGCGGAACCCCCGGCTTCAGCTCTTCGTCTAGAGCCAGCCGGAGCCAGGGCCCGACCCGCGGTTGGTTGCTTTGCCTGAACGTTCTCCGTCGAGAGGAGCCGAGCCGCGGGCTGCCGCAGGGCTCTGGGGGGCAGGGAGGGGTCACCCCACCCTCCTAGGCGCCGCTCACCTGCGCCGCTGGGTGCCGAGCGTCCTCGACGGCTGAGAGCTGGCGTTTCCGGGACTCGGCTGGCGTTTCCCCACGCCCCTGCCTGGGCTGGCTTCCGGCAGCTCGCGCGACGTTGGGCCGAGCGCCCCTGTGCCCACCGCCCTGTGCACGGAGACCCACTCCCCCCCCCGGGGCTCCCAGGGGAGCCGGCGCCTGTCTGTGGGGCCCCTGGGCGTGGCCTGGCCGGAAGGCCGCACTTGCCCTTTGAGAAGGAACAGGCACGCAGCGGGTGGACACAGGGACAAGCTATTGTAAGAGTGGACACAGAGGCCCTGCCTGGGGGCGCGGCGGGTTAAGGCGCAGCGCTGAGAAGCCAAAGCCCCCGCAGCACGAGTTCGATCCCCGCCTGCCCCAGAGGGGACCTCCAGGCGCAGCAGACCCCTCCCGACCCGCCCGCCGCTCCCCTCGGCAGTGGGCTTCGTCCACCTGCCTGTCCTGCTCCCCGCTCTGTCTCTGGGGAAGCCTCTCACCGCCCCTGCGCCTCTGGCCAGTACCCCGGTTCTGTGGGCATAAATAATTTAAAAAAAAAATAAGGTCAATACTGACCACCTGTCGTTACTGAGTAATTACGACCGTCAAGCCGTTCCCTAGTCAAAATCACGTTTCAAGGGATCGCTGCTGTTGTTCCGGGGGACGTTTGCAGGAAAATACCTTGTCTTACTCTGACCTTGCAGCTGTGGTTTGGAAGCCGCCGGCGGGCCTGTCCTTGAAGAGAAGTCTCGGAGTGTTTCTGACAGCTTTTACGCCAAGTATCTCGCTTCAGTGTTTCATCGAAGGATGTTACTGGCGAGTCTAAGTCATCCGGCTTCAATCTGTCATGTCTGCGCTTTTCACAAAGCCAGTCTGGCCTGCAGCGTTTCTCAGGAGGATCTGGGGGTGTTCACCGTTGGGCCCTCCGAGCCACATTTCGGTTTTCTCTGCACCCCGTGTGTGTGTGGGGGGGTGCTGGCCGGGCGGGGTTCATTTCCCCGGCCCTTCCCTGCCCCGGCCTGGCCAGACCCCCGGTCACTGCCTCGTCCCTTTGAGTCACTCTGCAGAGAACATCATCACGTTTGGGTCAGTGTCTTTGACCTGGTAAAGCCTGAGCTTCGTAGTCACGGGTCACCGTACCCCTTTTTGGGTTTGCATGGCGTGTTTCCAGTTTTGTACCGTTCACAGCACAGTTTAAAAATTTTTCAGGGCAATTTGCTTTGTGCGGTTTACTAACAGGTTATAAAAAAAGATTAATGAATGCTTTCGCTTCCAGTACAGCCTCCAGGAATCACCGATCAGTTCTCTATTTTATGTCCAAACTAGAGCAAGACAGAGTGTGAGATTTTTTTTTTTCCCCTGATTGGGACGTCAGAATAAAATATTTAGGGCTGATTAAGTGGAAGGCAAGTGTTTCCCTTAAGAGCAAGCTGACCTCCTACGTAGCTCTTCTTCTGTTTGGGAGCTAAAGTGGCATCTGTGACGTGAATTATTAAGGCTCCGAGGACCGTCAGAGGACGCAGGTTTCCTGCTCAGAACCTACCGGTCATGCAGCCCTGAGGTGCGAATTGTAAGTCACTTTTTTGTTTCTTTCCTTTCAAAAGAGGTATAAGAGACGTGGGTAATTTTGTTTTTAAAGCATAATGGCATTAAAAAAAAAAGTATCATGGCTAGCGCCGCCTTGTAAAGGTTAGTTTAGGGACGACAGTGAATTTAATACAAATGACTCTTGCGTATGGTCCACAGGAGTGAAGCCTGGAAAGTCGCTTGGCTTAGTGAACACGCAGGGTTCACCCCTTAATGTGCACCCCGGGTTTCCTCCCCAGCTCCACACAGAAAATACTCTGTGGCGAAGAAATGGGAGCGGAATTTAAGTGACTACTTCCTACTTGCAAAATCAAAGCGGACTTGTTCTTGCTCTCACGCCTCAGATCACATTTGGCACTTTGCCATGACCCACTTACCTGCACAAATTAACTGGGTCTCCCACCAGGTCTCTCTTCCTGCAGCTTGAATTTCCACAGAGGGGTCGCTGCGAAAGCAGGCTCACTGGCCGTGAAACGCGTGCTCTGTGCGCAGGGAACTTGTTTGTTCAAGTGCGTGGTGCCGGCCGGGAGGCCCAGCTCGGGGCCGCCGCCGAAGCGGCCGCCACCTCGGCCGGGCCTGAACGGGCCGCATGTTCCGTGCCTCGGGCGCTCTGCGTCTGGCTGGCCCGGGTGGCCACGGGGGCTCATTTAGCCCACAGGGGCCTGCGCGTGTCTCTGTTAGGCTTGACCGAGGAGTAGCCAGCATGGTGTTACATAGGAAGCAGCAGCTTTTTTTTTTTTTTTAAATATTTATTTGTGCACACAGAACTGGGGTACAGGCCAGAGGCTCAGGGGCGGCGAGAGGCTTCACCAGAGACAGAGCGGGGAGCAGAACAGGCAGATGGACAAAGTCCACTGCTGAGGGGAGCCGCGGGCGGGTCAGGAGGGGTCTGCCGCGCCCTGGGGTCTCCTCCAGGGTGGGGATCGAACTCGTGCTGCGGGGGCTTTGGCTTCTTAGCGCTGCCTTGGCCCTCTGCACCCCCAGGGTGGCCCGGAAGCAGAGCTTCACCTCTGTCACTCAGTTTATCAGCATTTCAAACGTGGCGTATGAGGACTTGGTCTTCAATTTGGCGCCTGACCATAGTTTTAAAATTAACCTCATCACATTCTGAGAGTCTCTTGAGTAGAAGACAAGAGGCTTCCCGTTCTCTCATTTATGTTTTGACCTTGGGGAGCCGGAAATCAGTGGCTGCTTTAGTGTCTCTGACCCCTCGGTCACCTCCCGGCGTGTGTGGGTCTCTGCTGGCTCTCAGCGCCCACCGCTGCCCACTGTGGTCAAGGCCTCGAGCCGGGGCTGTGGGCCTGCTCCACACACGGCCTGGCGGAGAGGGTGAGGCGCCAGCGTGGGGCTCAGCCACCCCGCTAAGGCAGGCGGGCGCCGGTCAGAGCTGTCCCGGGTGTCTCGAGCAATTTGAGCTGGAAGAGGTGGCACAGAGCCTGCCACAGGGGGCCCCGGGCTGTGGGGAGCAAGAGGCAGTGTGCCTGCGGTGAAAAGGAGATTCTACCCCAACAATTGTCTCAGATCTTGCAAATCCTCCCTCGCTTCCTGCACCTCAGGGTCCACACCTGTGACGTCAGGCTGTGTTGAGGGCTCCGTTGGGGGCGTTCGGAAGACACAGCGTGTGCCCCGCAAATGGGGAGCCCCCGTCAGTCTCGGATGCTGCCGCTCTTGTGTTCGTGGGCCTTAGTGTTACGGTCCTCATTCCATTTTTTTTTTTTTAAAGATTTATCTATTTGTGCATACAGAACTGGGGTACAGGACAGAGGCTCGGGCGGTGAGAGGCTTCCCCAGAGACAGAGAGGGGAGCAGAACACGCAGATGGACGAAGCCCACTGCTGAGGGGAGCAGCGGGCAGGTCAGGAGAGGTCTGCCGCGCCCTGTGGGTCCCCTCCGGGGCAGGCGGGGATCGAACGCATGCGGAAGCTTGAGCTTCTCAGTGCTGTGCTTCAACCCGCTGCGCCCCCAGGGAGGGCCCCTCATTCCATTTTTATAGATGTGGTCTATGGGGCAACAGGGCGTTTGGCCTTGCTGGGTCGTGGGAGCCCACGTTGCAGCTGGGCACTGTTAGTCTCCGACGCGTGGAGGACTCACGGCCGCGCACGGAGCGCCGCTGGGTCAGGGCAGACGCGAGGGCCCCGGGGAGCGGTCGGGGCTGCCTGTCCGGCTTTCACGTGCCCGCAGCGAGGATCCAGTGCTGGAGCAGAGTGGGCTCTGCATCGCTGGCCTAGACGCGGGGAGCGCTCAGCAGAGCGGCGTGGGGCGATTTACAGCCTAAGAAAGACTTGGGGTGTGCCCCCCCAGGGAAGGCAGTCACCCCTGGCTGTACTGGGTGCGTTTGCCGGGGTCGGCATTTCCGCCTCGAGGTCAGTCCCCGTGACCCCTTGCTGCGTTTCGTGATCAGAAACATTTACGCGGGCACCGGGCAGTGGGCACCGGGCAGTGGGCACCGAGCACCGGCTCCTCCCTGGGGAGGCTTCAGGGTCGCGGCGTGTCCATGTCAAGACGGCGGACGGTCGAGTAGGAGCGCAGCTCGCCAGCCGGGTGCTCGGGGAGAGCCTTGGTGGGTGCACACAAGGGAGGACCCCAAGTTGCCCAGCCCTGCCCGGGGGACCCTCTGCCGCTGCCCCCTCTCCTCCGGGCGGCCACGCCGGAACAGGCCACGCCGCCTGGGGGCCCGGTCAGCCTCCTCCGGCCTCGTGCCCCTCTCTCCCCTGGCCCCCGCCTGGTCCCGTCCGCTCGCTCGCCCTGTTGTCCCCCCGGGGTTCCCTCCCGGCTACCGCCCCACCACAGTTGCCCCTCCGAGCTCAGTACCGGCCCTTTGCCTCCGCGGTGGAGGTTGGGCCTCAACCGCCCTTTTATCTAGCAGTGCCCTTCCTGGATCGCGGAGTGGGCCAATCAGGCGCGAGCTATGAGCTGATTGGTGCTGCATGGTCCAATCAGATTCTGGTTGCCAGGACCCAGCCTCTGCCGCTCCCCAGAAGCTTTTATGTTAAGGAGGACTCCTTGGGTTGTGGAAGGGACCAATCAGGGGCCGCAGGCTGCTGGGCGAATGGTCCAATCAGCTCCAGGATTGAAAAATGGTCCAATCAGGCTTGGGGGTGGGGTGCTCTGGGCGAGGATATAAGGCGGGAAGGCTGGCATGGAGGGCACTAGCGGCCAGTCCCTGAGGAGGGGACGTGCATGCCAGCGCTGTGGGGACACGTTGGGGACACGGTGGTGACAGCCGCTGAAGAAAGGGAAAAGCAGGGTCCAGCAGCTGCCGAGGGGCCAGGAGCAGAGGGCTGTCGACAGGCCCTGGGTCCTCCTGTCCATGCCCTGACGAGCCCAGGACCTGGGCTGGTGTCCAGGGAGCGTCCAGACAGCTGCTGTTGCCTAACAACTCAGAGAGCTGTGAACGCGGGTGTCCTGACCCCGCCTCAGGGGCCCAGTGGGGGCCGTGGTGCTGGCCACTGCTGCCCAGACGCCTGGTCACTGTGGCGACCTGCCTGACACTCCCGGGGTGAGGTGACCCCCACGCGTGGCCACAGTGAGCTCCGTCTCCCTGGGGCCCGAGGGTGGCTGTCCGGGAGACTGGGGTCTCTGGCCACTGCGCGGAGGCCCTGGACAGCGACTGTCCCCTTCCCGGGCCCTGCCCTGCTGGGCTCAGCCAGGCGCTGCCGTGGGCGCTGTGTCCTCCTGCCCTGGGCTCTGGCCTTGGGGCCTTTGGCGGCCTGGGCAGGGGTGCCTGCGCCGTCCCCCCCTGGACTTGGGCGCCTGGCCCGCC